TTACAATAAGGGCAAGCCTATGGTACCAATTGCATGCATGTGACTTCTTTGTGAGAGTGAGCGGTTTTCTTTGATATATGTGAGTCATTAAAATATATTTGATCATAAGATTTGAATGTGTGGATTGAACTCGCTCTCTTGTTCTTGTTGTGAGAGCACATGGTTTCACGAGGGATAGGTAACGTTATTAGACTTCTCTATGATGTTGGGTGTTCAAGCCATGAGTGCATCATGACATTGAGTCGGTTTTTGAGGTTAGGATTGTTGTGAGCATGTTGTTTTTGTTTGAATATTTTTAAAAGAATGACATAAGTAAAGGGAAGTGTATGTGATGCATATTCTAGAGCCTAATTGTAGCAAATAACCATGGTCATAGGTATAGTGTGTTTTGAATGATAAGAGCTTAATTTTGTTTCGTCTACTATAGTGATGGTTTGTTCGAGGACGAACAAAGGTTTAAGTGTGAGGTGGTGATGTTGGGCATATTTCGATATGTGTTGATATTACTTTACCCATATTTTAACCACTTTTTGATACTATTTGATCTTTAAAATACCCAACATGATTTAATTTTTGGTTTTATGACTAATTGAGTTGTGTGTGATGATTTAAGATGTTTGGAGTCCAAAACTATGAAGAAAAGGTGCTCTAGCTAGAGGAAGAGAGGTTGGATGCGTCGCATCCAATCTAGAAAAAAATCAGTTTTCGTGCACCCTTAACAGTGAAGTCGGCCTATAGCATCCGCCTTAGCATCCGCACCTGGGTAAAGCTGAGATGGAGGAACAAAGGGTGGATGCGAAGCTGAGAAGTGGAGGACGAGGTGGATGCGACGCATCCACCCTAGCATCAATCCCTGAAGCTGATTTGGATTAGAAATAGGAGAACTTTGGCCTACGACTTTTGTACGCAATATATAAGCCAAAAACGCCTCTTTTAGGTCATCGAACATATTGGGAAGGGGGAAAAAGCTACGACAAAGTTGGGGAACCACGGAATTCATCTTGAGTTCTTATGTTTCCTTCTTTTATTGATTCTTATGCACTCTTGTGAATTATTTGATGATTGCATGAACATGAGTGGCTAAGAACCCTATTATTCTAGGGTCATGGGCGATACATGAATATTGATGTTTGAAGTTTAATTTGGCAAAGTTGATTTTATCATATTGGGTTATTTATTTAATTCAGTTTTTAATTAATTTGCTGAGTAGCTAACAGTGAATTACTATCTACGAATCTAGAATTAAACTCGAAAGTGGGAATTCTAGATTGCATATAGAATTAAATAGAGCAAGTTCTTGAACCCGGATATCGGGGAACAGATTTGCAATTAGGATAGAAATATAACTAATTGTCTTGCTCGGTTGAAATACAGGAAGTGTAAATGCATTCTTGTTAATCTTAATTCCATAGACATATAGACATTAAGTTAGCTTGAATAGGCGAGTAAGAACTTGACAGATTCTTATAAGTAATATCAACCTTGTCAATCAACAATCCAGATAAATCAATTAGTTATTTGAAGCTAAGAATGCAACATGATTATTAGATAACCCGTGACCCTGGAATATTATCTCCTATTGATTGTTATTCGAAATCATTTAAGTGTTGTGGTTGATCTCTAGTATTTCATTACTTGATAGTTTTTAGGTGGTAAATTAGAAAATTATCTATTTTGTGAGAAATCGTTTGAATCGATAAGTTATTTGAGTTTGAGTTAGTCAAAAGTTAATCATAAGTCTTCGTGGGAACGATACTTTACTCATTACTATATTACTTGACGACCATGTATACTTGCGTGAGTGTATTTGGTCGCAACAGTTTACTTAAAAATATATAGATATTAACTATTTTAAATTCAAATTCAAAAAGAGTAACTAATTATTAACTAACCTAACTAATTTTGTCCTAAAATTTGACACTTGTTTATTTTTTGTTGTGACACTTGGCATTATCACATTGATTTGCTTCTCCTATTCTATATAGATAGATTTGCTTCTCCTATTCTATATAGATAGATTAGACGGTATTCCAAAGATATATCTACTTTCACAAATTGAGAAGCTGTTTCTAGAGTCGTTACTATGTACTTATTATTCTAAAGTATATCCAGATAATGTTCAAGTTTTTTAAGAAAGTAATTTTATCTTTTAAGCCAATTTAATGGTACTCAATTCAAATGAAACTGTTGAATATTGAGATTTTGATGATTAACAAAGTTTGTTAATTTAGATGCAATGTTTGAAGAACCAGGTGCTCAATGTAGTTGCTTATCGGTTCTAAGAATCAACTCCTCAGGGTAAAGGACCAGCTCCTCTGGTTGATGATTGTACGTCTGTGCTAGGCAGTAACTTTATCTCAAAGTTACCCAGGTTCGAGTTTGGTGGAAGAAGGCTGCTGCATGTGATAAGGGTTGTTGCCCAAGAAGATACAAATAAATCAGTAAGACATAAGAGTCCCAAAACTTGTAGAGTCCTTGGAACAGTAGAAGTCCTATCAAACGAGAAGCTGCTTATGCATAGGACTCCTAGAAGATCTTGAAGTCCAGGCGTTTAAATACTATCTATTTTGGACTTCTCAATATCTCCTTTTACACATCAACTGTAGAACTTCATTTTGTTCACTCTAGTCGAGTATCAGTGTTGTATTCTTCTTGAGTCAGTCTAGTAAATATGTTTTAGGAAATTGAGTTGTAATCAAGTATCACAAACAATTAGTGAGTTGGAGCGAGTGTTTGCTTAGAGTAACTTATAAATCAAATAGTCATAGTAGGAGTACTGGAGAGTATTAAATTACAGTCTTGTAATTGATACATTTTGGCTCATTATTCTATTGGAGTTGAAGTTGAAAATCTTACACAGTAGGTCGTGGCTTTTGCATCTTTTAAGTCGGGTGATTTTTCACTTAAAAATCGTTATGTTTACTGCTTATTTTACTTCACGTTTAAGAAACACAGTAAAGAACCAAATTTTTTAGTAATTCAAACGGTCACTCAATTTAAGAGAAACGATCTAAAAATCACAAAGGGTAGAATACTATTTAAATATTACTAGGAGCTATGTATTTTTTTCAGGCTATATGTATATTACAGTGGCGCTTATATTTTTTATTTTTTTTAAAAAAAAGTGGCGCTTATTGGCCATAATATTTGGTGTACTAACGTTCACTAGTTTACTTTTGGTGGGGGAACAATTTCGTCCTTTAGTTTCCACAAAGCGTCTGGTATGGCCAATTTGTGTCCTACAAAAAAAATTCCTTCGTTCAAAGGTTCTTTCTTTTTGTTGCAAAAAAAAAATAAAAAATTGCTGTCATACTTGGGAGTTCTTGCTTTTCTTGATCTGTCTAGATAATTTGCATAATGAACTTTTTAAAAATTGGTTGAGTCGGATATTGTATCTATAATTATTGTTGGCCCTCTATTATCGTAGAATGATATTACTAGTAATTCGGGATCTTTTTCTTTTTATTCTTTCGGGTAGCTAATATTGACCATGTATTATGTTGAATGATATTCGTGAATTCGAGATTTGTCAAGTCATGTTATCAACTGCTATATGTTAGCGGGCGTTGCTCATTTATGAATCAAGCCGCCGATTGAGAAAATTGGGTGCTAATGATACTGTTTGGTGGCTATTTCTTTCTTTTTTTAAAAAACAAAATTATTTTGCATAGGGGAATTGTTTTGTTTTGACTGGTCGAAATAGAATGCTTCAACCGTTGATTGAATTAAATAAATCACATATATGAATGATTTGCATCTCTATCCAAGATCAAGTAATCACTAGCGAAGACCAGCTATCCAGACATATTTAGCTTAATCCCTAAACCAATTACTAAAATTGGACCCAATCTAGAAGTTGAGAACATGTACCAAAGAAAACATAACGGATAGAGACTAGTTGGGCTCACCTTAAGCGTGTAATATGGTTTCCTTTTGCAGGGGTCAAAAATGTTTGGATGCATAAGGGGGTTTCGATCAAAGTGTTTGAAAGGTTACTTTGATACTTGTATACGGGTGAAACCGAGCCCTTTAGACGCCTCGGTTCCCGATGAAGTAAACGGAGCAGAGATGTGACTGTAAGGAACTGGAGTCGGGGCAAGGAGCCCCTCGAGTCGGGGTCCGGGCAATATACCTGCCCTCGGAAGAATCGGGGCCACGTCCCCCAAGTCCAATTCGAATCCCAAAACTTCGGAGAGCATTACCAGATAATCGAGCACAATAAACAAATGGTCGTGATATCCGTGCCCAATTGGATACAGGGTGAATCTCAGCACGTATCGGCAGAAAATCAGTGATTAGTAAAACGAAAGATTTTTACTTCTTTTGGAATTGTACTTAGGGTAAAACTCCCCCACTATATAAATGGGAGTCTAACTATTCATTAGGCATCATTGTAACACGCATATCAAGGCAATATACTTTTATTTTCTCAATTATTCAAAGTTCTTACTTTTGTTCATTAATTCTTCATTATCGTGAGCCTGGGATCGAAGGCAGGCATTTCATTAAACACTACAAAAAATGGGTAAATTGCGGAGGTTAAAACTGCAGTTTGCGGAGGTTAGAAACCTCCGCTATTTGCTGTCACAGCGGTTGAGCAGACCCCCGTAGTAAGCGTCGCCACTATTAATTTGCGGCAGATAAATGCGGGCATTTCCCGAACCGCCATGACAGCAAATAGCGGAGGTTTCTAACCTCCGCAAATTACAATTTTAGCCTCCATAATTTCATGCGCGAAAATAGATTTTTTTTTAAAATTTAACCTTTTTTTTTACTGTAGGGGTTGTAAACCCCCGCAATTTCTTATGTGTACACCATCATAATCTGTTCAATTTCTTTTGGGGGGTTTTAACCTCATCTATTTTTAAATATATTATAGAATTAATTTTTTATCATTAATATGCCATACTTTTACCCTAATATCAATTGAAATATCTATGCTTAAACCAAAATATTAAAATTAAGAAATATCAACATTTCATTAACCGTGAAAAATACTGGGACAGAGTAGTATCATATGTCATCAAGCTAAGTTAGAGCATAGTTAATCATCTATATTAGTCAGCTATTACATTGTCCAAATACATCCACTTCAATTAAAATGAATCTCAATGGCTGTCAATGGGATTACTAGCGGCAGAAGATCTTGCATCCGTCTGTGAAACGGGTCTACTAGCTCTATCACTTGGATGCAGCAAAAAGTAAAAAAAAAAATACAACTATTAAGAAGAGTATCAGGAAATAAGTCATTGAGTTGAAATATATATTGTCTACTTAAACCAACAAAAAAGACGAAGATAAAAAGTTAAAAGCATCCTTCTACTATTACTCTTGCAAGTTCAGCAGCCTTCTTCTCTCTATAATGCCCCCTCTTAATGCTATAAACAGGAACTGAATCAAAGGCTAATATACATTGATCCAATGCAATAGAAACTAAAATCACAAGTCTTGTAAAGATTGTTGAAAACAATGGAGCCGACGTGCCATGCTAATATTCCAGATATGCAACTTTTAATGCAGTAAAATTTTTTATGTCAAAACTTCTTTCACTTTTCCCCTTCTTCAGTAAACATGCAGAAGAAAGGTTTCCAACCAAACAAATAATTCCTTTTCTTAACAAATAATTTGGCACAAAGAGGATGCCCATTAACAGAAACTCTCTCAAGGATGGAAGAGGGGCACTGCTGATAGGAAAACAGAATTCCTTGATTTATATTGGGTGGTAAAAAAAAAAATACCACTTTTTAGTTTATATACCTAAATCTAATCATCTTAGTATTAGTATACACTGCAGTTTGAGTACTAAGGATAATATTGTTGTGGTAGGGAGTGACAAATGATACTAAATGTTGTCTTTTCTAGCTGCTACAGAAACAAATGAGCACTTCTGCGTTTATTTATACTAAATGGTTGTGACTTAAGTAAAATAATGTCTTTTGTAAAATAAGGTAGTAGCAAAACCATTTGGCCCATTTAATTTAATTAAAGGCTGGAAATGATATAAAGCTGTATATGCTGAATTTTGTTGCTTACGGATAATTTTCTTCGGTCAAAAAAGATTGATGCTACTATGAATAGAAATGAAATCATGTGCCAAAACATATAGAGATCTTCAGAATATAAATCACTCCATGAAAATCATTTGTATTTATAACAATCATGAATGTAACTTACACATATTTCTTTTGCCTCCTCATTTACATATGATCCATCATTTTTCGTATGTGTAGCAAGATAAAGTTGTGCTCGTCCAGGCTTTCTCCCTGTCTCAGCCATCTATGTATGAAAATAAAAATAAGTCAGAATAGTTTAATTAAAAAAAATAAAAATAGATACAATATCTAAAATTTAAATAGTAAAGTAAGGTAAATAATGTGACATCTTTTACCATTTCAGCCCTTCTTCTAGAATTAGGTTTGGAGCCACCGGTGTGTGGAACTGTTTGTTTCTTCTAGAATAGTTTCTCCATGTGAATCTTTAATAAATAAAAATAAAAGTAAAAAAGTGAAGGTACCAGATATGGTATAGAGAGGTCTGAATAATTCATTATATTGAAAGATACTATTACTGTGAAACTAAGAACAACTTGACCATATGAAACAAGCGATTTAAGAATATAAAAATTGCATCATAGAATATAAAAAGCAGACTTTTACTGATAATTGTCATATGAACAAGCAGTTCAACATGACTAAACTTCTAAATTGCTTATATAAAAATTTCACATGGTTCCGAGAATTCTCACTATTCTTTTCTATTAAGTAATACAAATGCAAAATCTAAAAACTGATTTAAACCAAATAAATATTCCGTGGTATTCCTTGACTTTCTAATCCAAGATTTATCCATAGAAAAGTATTAACTTTCAAGTGCAGCTAATGAACCTTTCAGAATATAAAGAGAAAATATCAGTTCTCTATTATTAGAATACAGAATATTAACTATGAAGCAATAAATACATACAACAAAAGCCATATATAATCATCTACCAAACTTGAAAATCCCATAAGAAAGAATGCATTTGCATAGTCATAGTCATATCTCCCAACAATAATAAGTAGATTCAAAGACAAGTAAGTCAATAAACTATAAGTATCATGATAGAAAATATATTCACCGTAAGACAAAGTATATTATTTCTGCTGATATGCATTTTCAAGTGATTGGTCAATAATGGTGTATTTTGTTTCTTCTTTTATCATCATTCGACAGTATAAATATATATATTTGTAATTATTTCGAAGCCACTTGAAGTATGAGTAATCTATAGGTCAACATAGTCTTTATCTGCCTCTTTATATATAAACTGGACAAATGAAGATCAGAAGCTATGGTTTCTTTCTAACAACATTCATTTTTATCTTCTTCATCACCCCATGTAGATAATTGACCAAAATAATCATTAAGGCCTCTTTTGAACTCAAGAAGAGCATCTCTCTCCTTTTCTATACACAGAGTCATTTCAAAAGCTGCTTGTAAGAGCAGTAAAGACAAAGTAACAAGGAAATGAGCTGAACTCGGATATTCCCTTTTGCCCATTGTTCAAGAAGCAACTAAATGTTATGTGTTTTTTTTTTTGAAATATTTAGCTTATATATATATAATTCTTGACTATCCAAGTAGTAAGTTGTTTTCAAAACTAATTAAAAGATTAGAAAAAGACTCTTCAGGAATAAATTATACAACAGATTTTATTAAATACTTGACATAAGAAACAAGTGGCCCCACCTTGAGAAGAAAAAGATCAAAGGAGAAATGATTTATTACATATGATTTTCTCCCATTTTGACTAGTAAGCATAAGCAAGTAGCAGTACTGGAGATTGAGTCAAAGAAGACGGGCTAGTTGAGTTTTGTATCAAAATATACTAATAAGAAAAGAAAAATGAGAGAGGCAGTGGAATTAAAATTCTAAGTTTGTCCAAGGTCAGAGTCACAGCAGCAAATATACAAGGCAGAGGAAGAGAGGCAAAGAAAAATTCATACATATCGACCATTAAGGCCTGCAAAAAAACAAAAGTACACAAAAATTCCTGCAGAGAGATCGACCATTAAACCCAAAAGTACAAAGAAAGCAAGGAAAAAGTACACAAAAATTCATACAAATCGACCATTTAATATACACAAAAATTCAATATCAAACACCATTTAATCATACAGATCGACCAAAATACACATAAAAATTCAAAATTAACAGAAAACCCATGAGGGGAATAAGGAAAGAAAGAGAAAAATCAAACCTGGGAGGTGTAAAAGCGATGGCGATTGAAGAGGAAAAGAGAAGTTAGAAGAAGAAGAAGAAGGAGACAGTGTATTTTGTTGTTGTGTGGCGAAAGTTTCTAGGGCGAAAAAGATTGGGGAAAAAATGGAGGGAGTGTGAAATAAATTACCCGCTATTATTTTAGGGTTGCGGATCCGTAAATTGTATATAATTTTGTGGGGGCTAATATTTTGCCGCAAAATTATGCAAATTGCGGAGGTTACTTATACCCTCCGTAAAGAAACCTCCGCAATTTACCCTTTTTTTGTAGTGAAAGTTGGTACTGAGTCTGGGATCACTCCCCTTAATTGGTTTGATAATTTATTATGTCCTTTATCTGTTTAATCTAATACAATTTATTATTTGTATTGAATTAATCCACGTATCCTTAAAACCACATATAAATTTAATTGTTATCCGTTTTTTAGGGTAAACAGTTTGGCGCCCACCGTGGGGCTAAGGATAATAGTGGTAATTTGATACAAATTTTCATAACACACTTTATTTTACACTTATTCTTTGAGCTACTAATTTCAGGTGTCAAATTCCCAATTTGCCCATTTGAATGTTGATATTGAATCCAGCCACCATGGAAAGAACAACAATGTGGTGCCCAGCAACGAGGTACCCCCATGTTGACCCCAACGGAGTTCCAGCCGCGGACCCGATCGATGCTAACTCATATGTGATTATCAAAGCAAATTTGCCAACCGACCCCAAAAATAAAATTCACGGGGGAACCCGATCGATAGCCCGGAGTACATACGACGCCGAAGGCGATGGGATCAACTTGCGGGTGATCTTAGAAATGTTACAAGCTCAACAGGCAGCGATAATCCAGTTGCAGAACCAGAGCCGCGCCCCCAACAGAGTTGAGCCCGAATCGTCCTGGGAAAACACTCACAAAAATGAACCAGTCACACAAAAATCGAGTGAGGCTGAACCCGGGACCAACCCCGAGATAATAAAGATGCTCGTGAAACTGACGAAACGGGTGGAATCGGGAGAGAAGAAAATCGAAGCCAACGACAAAAAAGTGAAGACTTATGACTCCAGGGTCGATCAAATCCCAGGAGCACCACCGATACTGAAAGGCCTGGACACCAAAAAGTTTGTCCAAAAGCCTTTCCCTCTGAGCGTAGCTCCGAAGCCGATCCCGAAGAAGTTCCGTATGCCCGAAATTCTGATGTATAATGGAACGACTGATCCAAACGAACATGTGACCTCCTATATGTGTGCTATCAAGGGGAATTGTTGGCCCAAGTAAGGTTTGGTTTGATGATTGACAAAGAAACTCAAGCATGAACCAGGTCCATACACAGTGTATACGGACACGGGCAGAATTCGGGAATAAGGCATACACGTGAATGAGATAAACTTAAGTGGTTATATCAGATATTTTCTGAACGAAAAGGTTGCATAATTGATAAGGAGAAGGACTCCTTACTCGAGAGAACTCTATCCTATATAAGGGAGAAGTTAGAAGTTGAAGATAACTAGAACTTTTCCACCGAGTATAGCATTAGAACTCTAGTTATTTTCTATTCTACTAACTCTATAAATTTCATGATGTTCTCATTTTACAGGTACGCACAAACGCTAAAGTTAAACGTGAGTTGAGTGAAAAATAGCATGGCATTTTGAAAACAATTCTTGTGTGATTCAAGTGTGCGAACCTGAAGCTACATGGACCAGATAGAAGAACCAGTTCCAAGTGTCTGTCTTTTACTCTAGTTTCATTGTAGTAGGTGTTTCAAATTGTACCTTTCAGCTTTATCTAGAAGTAATTGTACTAGGTATTTTGAGTGTTATAGTCAAGTTAGAAGTAACTTGAAGTTGTCGCAATAGCTAGAGACTGGTTGCCACAAAGGGATTAGAGGTAATCCTTAGGTTTACAAAGAGTTTTGTAAATGTTATTTTGGCTTAGTGATTTAGTGAAGTGTTGGAGAAAATCCTACTGAGTAGTAGGTCGTGGTTTTTTCACCTTTTGAGCCAGGTATTTTCTACGTAAAATACTTGTGTTCTTTACTTTCCGTATTTACTATTCCGCAATAGTAGTATAAGGAACAAATAGACGAACCAAGTCCTTCTATAATCTGTGCATGCAAAAAATTGGACACCACACAAATCACTCCCCCTCTTGTGTGGTATTGAAGTATAAAATATTAATTGGTATCAGAGTAGGTTATCCTTGAAGTGGCTTACACCTTAGGAGAAGATTAACATGAGTGCACTACCTGGAAACTGAAAAGGGAAATCCACTGCGAGGCCACCACTCTTTAATGGCCAGTACTACTCTTGGTGGAAAAACAAGATGAGAGATCACATTATAGGAGAGGACTATGAGCTATGGGACATTGTCACCGATAGTCCACCGGATACCTTGAAGAAAAATGCTAAAGGAGTAGATGTGCCAAAGACAAGAGCGGATTGCACTGCTGAGGACTTGAAGAAGTGGGAGAAGAATGTTAAAGCCAAGAAATGGCTTGTTTGTGGACTTGGACCAGATGAGTACAGCAGAATCCAAAGTTGTACCAGTGCTAAAGAAATTTGGGACATACTGCAAGTGGCTCACGAAGGAACACCTCAGGTAAAGAGATCCAGAGGAACTCTACTGTACTCTCAGTATGAGAACTTTGCCATGAAGAAAGGAGAAACCATTCAAGAGATGTACACAAGGTTTACTACACTGACAAATGAGCTAAAATCTCTTGGAAGGATTATTCCTGAAGAAGATAGAGTCGAGAAGATACTGACTAGGGTTTTGCCTATCACTTGGGTGAGCAAAATCAATGTCATCCAAGAATCAAAGAATATTGCCACTCTCTCACTAGATGAATTAATTGGAAATGTCACTACCTATGAACTTAGGATACAAACCATGAAGATGGATGTACCTAAGAAGGATAGAAGCTTGGCACTCAGAATCATTGAAGGTTCTGATCTGGAAGATGATAAAATGGCTATGATCACCAAGGACTTTAAGAAGTACATGAGGAGAGGAAAGGGTTCTTCAAAAAGTGAAAGCTATAACAAGTCAAAAACTCATGAGAAGCAAACCAATAATGGCTGCTACAAGTGTGGAAAGACTGATCACCACATGATCAACTGTCCTCTATGGGAAATTGAATGGAAGAAGGAAAGAGCTAAATGAAGGAACATGAAGAAGGAACAAGTTTAACCAAAGAAAAGCAACAACAAAGGATCAACCAAGGCCATGGTCACTGCTTGGAGAGAAAGCTCTAATGATAGCTTAGATGATGATGATGAGGATGAACGAGTACTTATGGCCATTGGAGAATCTGATGAAGAAACTGAGGTAAGTGTCATTCATCTCAGAAACAAGATTAAATTTTTGTCTAAATAAAGGTTATCTGAGTTACTACTGGAGCTAATTGATGAATCTGAGGATGTAAATAATGAAAAGGAACAGTTGTCTAAAGAATGTGTGATTTTGAAGGCTAAGTTCAAAAATCTGGAACTTAGGGTTTGTGAAACTGTAAGTGAAAATACTGTGTTAAAGAAACAGGTTCATGCACTTGAGTCAACTATCCTATAGCTTAGATCTGATAAACTAAAATTGAAACTAGGAAGAAGCAAAAATACAGCCGATCACATACAACTCACTTTAGAAGAAAATATAGGGAAAATGAAGGATGTGTTGTATAAGAGAGATGAACAGGTAAGAATTCTAAAGGAGGATCTAAGCAAGGTCAAGCATGAGCTAGACAGAACCTGTAAATGGAACAGGTCCTCTGATGCACTTTCATGGCTACAGGAACACCATAGTAGCAACAGAATATGACATGGCTTTAGGAACTCGGTACCTAAGTGGGATCCCAAAAGCAAGTACCTCACACTTCCTGAGAACAAGATTTGCACACACTGTGGTAAAACAAGTCACTATAAAAGTGAATGCACTAGAAAATAAAAGGCAAGTCAAAAGAACAAAGAATTTGTTCAAGGGAAGAATAGGCTACCAAGTTGGGCTAAAAAGAATTTGATTCATCCTTAAGCCTATAGAAAGGGACCCAAACTAGTTTGGGATCCTAAGACTAACCCCTGATTTCCTTTTGCAGGTCCAAGTGAAGGGGAGCAGCCAAATATGGTACATGGATAGTGGCTACTCAAAGCACATGACAGGAAGCAAGAACCAGTTCCTTTCACTTGAGGACCTTAAAGGAGGTAATGTCTCCTTTGGAAATAGAAAGAAAGGTGAGATCATTGGGGTTGGAAAGGTAGGTTAGACTGATTCTTACTCTATTGAGAATGTCTACTTGATAGAAGGACATGAAGTACAGTCTAATAAGTGTATCACAATTGTGTGATAGAGGTAACATGATAGCATTCACCTCTACAAAATGCTTTGTGATTAATCTTACCACTAACTAGATAGTTTTGCAGGAAAAAAGAGTGAACAACATATATGTTGTGGATCTGTCCACACTTTCATATAATGAACTTACTTGCTTAAGTGTGTTGGATAATGATCCCCTCCTTTGGCACAAGAGACTTGGACATGCCAGTCTAAGTCAACTCAATAAACTAGTCTCCAAAGACTTGGTGATAAGGCTGCCTAACATTAAATTCAAGGAAGATAAAGTTTGTAAGGATTATGCAAGGGGGACCAGGTAAGATACTCTTTCAAAAGCAAGAAAGTGGTAAGCACCACCAGGACGATGGAACTGGTCCATATGGATCTTTGTGGACCAATGAGAACATTGAGCAAAGGTGGTAAGAGATATGTTATGGTGCATGTTGATGATTACTCTATGTTTACTTGGACATTGTTTTTAACATCTAAAGATGAAGCATTTGACATGTTCACTTTTTTTGTTAGAAAAACATAGAAACAACTAGGTAATCAACTTGCATCAATTAGGCCTGAGCATGGTACTAAATTTGAGAATGCTAAATTTGCTGAATTTTATGATGAGCATGCATAAATCATAAATTTTCTGCTCCTAGGACTCCCCAACAAAATGGAGTAGTTGAAAGAAAGAATAGGACATTGGAAGAAATGGCTAGGACTATGCTTCTTTCTAGTAAACTGCCCATAGTTTCTGGGCAGAAGCTGTGAACACTACATGCTACATCATAAATAGGTGCATGACTAG